ATAATGATAAAGATTCAGATAACTACACATTATCTTCTGATTTGTTAGAACTAATAAAACATGAAGATAAGTCAATTGAACCCTATCAAAAAATTATCGAATTAGTGAATTTGGGAGACGATGAAAACAAAAGAGAGATCAAAGTTGGTACATCTCTTTTACCAGTTGAAAAGCAAAAATTAGAAAAGCTGTTTCGAGAATATGTGGATGTGTTCGCGTGATATCCATTCTTTTATTTTCATTTGATATTTTTGTTCACCGTACAAATAAGAGAAATGTGTGATTGCATTTTGTTTATGATGAAAAGAAACACAAACACAAAAGATCTCAACATTACTTTTAAAAAAAAAAAGTTGATAAAGGCAAATGAAAAAGGATGAGAAAAGCATGACAAGACATTAATGTTGCAGACTTTTGAAGAAAAAAAATATTGTGGTCAGATGTTAAGAACAGATTGGTCATATGAGAATTCTGATAAAAGAAGCCAAAAAGTGAAAGATTTTGAAAACCTTTTTACTACAATGAATAATTTTGATTGCATTACATGCATTGCATTTAGAGCATTCAGTATATGCATCCATAAGCAATTTTAATAAGGATAGATTTTTCATTTCCTAATGAAAAATAAGATCAAACAAAAGATTTCGAAAGAGAGAAATTTACTTGTTCAAAGATGAGAACTCGATTTGAAGAACCGATGAGATTTTTAAAGTTGTTGAGCCTCTATTGAAAGGAGTTTTTTCAAGATGATTTTTAAAGTTGTTGAGTCTCTGTTGAGAGGAGCTTTTCCAAATAAATTTTTAAAATTGTTGAGCCTCTGTTGGACGAGCCTTTTTTCAAGATGATTTTTAAAGTTATTGAGTCTCTGTTGAGAGGAGCTTTTTCAAGATGAGATTTCCTAATGAAAAATAAGATCAAACAAAAGATTTCAAAAGAGAAAAATTTACTTGTTCAAAGATGAGAACTCGCTTTGAAGAACAGATGAGATTTTTAAAGTTGTTGAGCCTCTATTGAGAGGAGCTTTTTCAAGATGATTTTTAAAGTTGTTGAGCCTCTGTTGAGAGGAGCTTTTCCAAATAAATTTTTAAAGTTGTTGAGCTTCTGCTGGACGAGCCTTTTTTCAAGATGATTTTTAAAGTTATTGAGTCTCTGTTGAAAGGAGCTTTTTCAAGATGAGATTTTTAAAATTGTTGAGCCTCTGCTGGGAGGAGCTTTTCAAGATGAAATTTTTTTTCAAGATAAGAATTTTTAAAGTTATTGAGCCTCTACTGAGAAGAGCCATTTCAAGATGAGATTTTTAAAATCGTTAAGCATCTGCTGAGAGGAGCTTTTTTCAAGATGAGAATTTTTAAAGTCGTTAAGCCTCTGTTGAGAAAAGTCTTTTTCAAGATAAAATTTTTAAAGTTGTTGAGCCTCTGCTGTGAGAAGCTTTTTCAGATGAGATTTTTAAAGTTGGTAAGCCTCTGCTGAGAGGAGTCTTTTTCAGATTTTAATTTTCAAAAATTGTCGAGCCTCAAGTGAGAGGAGCATTTTCAATTTGACGGGAAAAACTTTTTGAGTAGTTTATGTTCAAAAAAAAAAAATCCCTTTGGATTCCAGACAAAATTGTTGTTTGTTTTTATCCTAATCCTGATTCTCAGTAATATGCAAAAAGAGATAGTTGTAGACATCAAATTTGTTCGATCTTGATCAAATTTGCTATTTTTATTAAATAATAAATAAGATAATAATAATATTATTAAATACAATAATAAAAATTAAACAAAAATACAGAATACAAAAAATATAAAAATATCAAAAAAATACAAAATACAAAATACAAAAAAAAGAGAAAAAAAATAAAAAAAGAGCTGATGGCATGGTGCCTTCCCTGGCACCACTGCCACTATGCCCTACCCCTCACCCCTTTGATCACCATACCCTACTACCCATACCACTACCCTCGCTTAAGCTCTTACCATTATCGAATTAGACAAGAACAATAAAAGGGGTATGGGGCTCGTACTTGCGCCCTCATGTCGTGCCCTGTGCCATTCCCTCAAGCACAAAGCACTATTGAAGCTCTATAAATAGAGCTCCTGGTCGAACCTGAAAGAAAAAAGAGGAAAAAAACCTTGCAAAAAATAGAAAGAGTGTTTTGCTAGAAAAACAACAAAAAAATAACTCAGTTCCTTGGAACGGGAAACCTAGCGCCGAGAGTTCCTGCACACAAAAAAAACAAAGTCAATTTAAAAAAAAGGAGAAATAAAAAAAGAGAGGGTTTGACTGAAACTTTCAGGCCAGATCTATGCTGCTTAAGGTATTTTTCAGGTGAAATGGAGGTTGGATCTGTGTTCAGGGGGTTGAGGAGAACAATTTAGGTGATTTTGGTTTTTTTTTGTCACCGACAACGGGGATTAGCTAGCCATTTACGTTTGGCTGAAGGAAAAAAAAAAGAGTTTTTTTTTTTTTTTTTGAGAAGAAGAGAATGATTGAAAAAAATTTTGGACCTTTTTATATAAGCGATGAAAACCAAAATGACGTTGTTTCAATAAAGACCAAAACGACATCATTTTGAACCTTGAGGATTCGCGCATCAACCCATGACCCGAATCGAGGTCCGTGCACCCGATCCGATGATTTGTTTTTCCTTTAGCCTCTAATCGATCCATCTGAATCGAACCAGATAGAATTGGATCGCCCTGAACCGTTGAACCGACCCAGACCGAACTGTCGATTTCAACTGAGCGTTGATCGAACCGTTGACTGGTCCAGTTCAGGTAAAAAAAATTATTTATTTATTTATTAGATTTTTTAAAAATATTATTTTTGTTATTTTAATTATTATTCTTATTATTTATACATGTAAAAATGTCTAAATTTAACAGAATAAATTTTTGTTGTTTTATAATAATAATTAATAAAAAATATATAATAACATTTTTTGATAATTATATTAATTTTAGAATAAATCTTATAAAATAATTAAAAATAATAAAATAATAAAAAAAATTTTATCCAATGATGAGATTCAGAAATACTCTGAGTAGTAATATCTATGAAATCTTTAGGTGAGAAGATTTTTTTAAATACTATCAGTGTATTAGAGTATTTACAAAAAAAATTTCAATACAATAAAAAACATTTTTTTCTTATAAAATAATAAATAAAAATTAATTAATAATATAAAAATAATAATAATACAAATAAGGAAAAATGAAATTTTATCCAATGATGGGATTGTAAAAGTATTCCGAGTAGTGATACTTTACGAAATCCCTAGGTGAAAAGATTTTTTTTAATATTACCAGTGTATTGAAATATTTATAGAAAATCTTCAATATAATAAAATTTCTTTTTCTTCAAAATTTCAATTAAAAATAAAAAAATCAAATAAAATTAATTAATAAATTTTTTTTTAAAAAAAATGTGTGCATCAACATGATAACATTCTGTATTGCATGAATGACATAATTTTTACGAAAAGTAAATTAGGACCTCTGAGGATGAAATTTTAAGGTATTCCGAGAAATGATGCCTAGAAAATCTCTAGGTGAGAAAAAGCTTTTCTAATGTTACCAATGCATTGGAATATTTTAAGAATTATTTCAATAAAAATGTTCAAATTTATTTTTCTCGAATAATTTTTTTTAAATTAAAAAAATTAAAAACCAATTTTCAATAAATGAATAAATCAAGAAAATTATTTTTCAAACACAAAAAATGGGACTATTTTTTATCAAAATTAAAGGATAACACGTAGTTAATTGGTACCATTTTAAACGGGCACATGAGGATGCTAATCCTTCCTCATGCGTAACCGACTCCCGAACCCAGATTGTTATGCAGACTTTAAAATTATCCTTTTAATAAATTTTAATTAATTTTAATATTTCATTAAAATGATATGTTTTAATAGGTGGCCAATCATACCTAGCCAAAAAAAGATTAGTGGCGACTTCATTTTTCGTTCTTTTATTTTTGTTTTCAAATTTATTGGGCGGACACAAAACCATTACGACAAGGAGTTCACTTGATATGATTTTTACAGTTGTTAGGCCTGTATTAAGATTTCTTAACGTTGTGACTTGTGAGCCAAACAAGTCGCAACCAATTGATTCAAGTTCGTTCATGGCTTTCTAAGGTGCCATTAGTTTTTGCATGGATATGTAATAGTTCTTCATTTCTTATGTTTCCTGGCATGTTTGATTCACTGTTTTGAGTTGAGTGGTATATTGATTTCATCACTGCTATTTTTTTTTGGGTTTGTAATAAATGCCATCTGGTTTTTTATTACGAAATTCTTTCTTGCTTTCAAAGCATGATTTGTAATGTGAATTTGCAGTTGATGCCACAAAGCTTTTGTTATGGAGATTGTTTAGGTTAATGGATCTCAAACTTATATGTTACAAAGTTTCTTAATATTTGTTACAAAACAATTGTGAAGCTGTAGACGTGGATATCCCGTGTTTGAAGGAATAATAATCAATTTCTTTTGACTTGGATTAGTTTGTTCATCTTGTTTAATAAGTTCAGACCTTCACTTAATAGAGTATTTGTTAGTTAGTGGGAATTTTTCATCTCATGGAATTGGCTTTTAATGTTGTTTTTACAGTTTTGCTTAATTAATTTTGCAAATGAAACAAGGTGAACTGTCGTACTAATTCTATTTCCTTGCCAAGCATGTAATATCACATCAAAGATGTTCGTTTTGCATGAGCTAGTTAAAACAGTTTTTCCTTGTGGAAAAATAAATTTTGCCATTTGTTGAAGCCAATAATGCACCTGATATGAAAGAATCCTAGTTCAGGTGTCCCAAAGATGATTCTATATTTAATAAGAAACTATGTTGTTGACTCAATTATGCAAGAAAGTGACTTATTTTAGGGTGATAGATGTTAAGTATTCCAAGTAAATGAAATAATTAATATTTGTTATTTGTCTGAAAAGTTTATGCAAACTCCATGGAATACTTTTATCTAATTAACATGGTTTCTCTTGCCTTGTTTTCAAATTTTCAGTATCACCATTTTTTACTTTGCCAAGGAAGAGTTAAACTGTAGGTTTGTTCCACTATTTCCTGAAGCCTATGAGCCTGTGAGAGTCCCATTTCAGATGGGACTTGGCCAAAGATTTCGGCAGCCTTCAGGAACAGGAATTGACTTAGGTTTCTTTGAATTGGCTGATCTCTCAAAACCATCACCAGGAGAAGATGTTTTCCCTCTTGTAATTTCTGCTGAAACATGTATGCCTCCTCATTCATCCAATGAACTCGCTGATGATCCTGCACAAAATACATCAGCCCACATGCAAATTACTCAAGCTATTCTGGAGAAGAACAATGGTAACTCTTTCCAAGTGAAAGTGATAAGGCAGATATTATGGATCGATGGAGTTCGCTATGAACTACGTGAGATATATGGAATAGGAAGCTCAGCAGCAGCAGAAGGCTTTGATGATTGTGACCCAGGGAAAGAGTGTGTTATCTGCATGACTGAACCTAAGGATACTGCTGTTCTACCTTGCCGCCACATGGTAAGGATTCCCCATATTCTTTGAAATATTGCATGCTGATAATCAATCTGATATAACAGTTTGAAGTTGGTGGGTGTGTCATCATGTGGAATGCTGCTGTGATTAAGAATGATAAGGAGGCAGGGTCAAGCAAAAGTGTTTGGGCACTCTTGGATGTTGTAGGACCAGGCATCATTTACTTAAGTTATCTGATTGTCATGCTGCTATAGTGGGTTCCACATGGCACTCACTCTACCATCTTATCCTCTAACATGATTATCTTTTCTGGTTGGTGTACATATGCATTCTTGCTATGGGACAATGTGTGAGAATTGATGATTGAATAATTTACTGTGATTGTGCCTGTAATTTGGAGCTTTGTTTCTTTATCTTTTGTGAGTTGCCTCTTGCAATGGCTGCTCAGACATACGTTCTTTATTGTTACCAAGGAAAGTATCTGAAGTGAAACCAGAGTCCTGCTGATGTTGGGCCTTTATTTCTCAAGTATGCAATATCCAAAACCTTATTGAAACGTAAATAACATAGTTGTTTGTAACTAAAGCCAAAACCTTAACAAAATGTAAAATACCAATAACAACCCTGCTTAAAATAAACCTAATAAAATAAAGGGCCCAACAGCCGTTCTTCATCATCTACCTTTTCTTTGGCCCCACACTTACCAACAACTACAGCTAAAGTGGCTGGAGACTTAACTTGTTTTTGTCGGTATGAACATTGCAAGGTTAATAGAATTTTGATATCTGTTGTTAATAATTGAGATTGTCTAAAATTTATTGCAAGATTGCTTGTTTTTTTTTTTTTTTTCAATAGAACTTAGCACTAGTGAAAAAACTTAATTGGATATGCATTCCTTGGCCACTTCTAAAGCTTTATATGATGAGAAAGGATTGTATGATTAGAAGCCAGGATAACTTTGTTTTTCTATGTTCTAAAATTATACATTTCAAACATGGTTAGATCATTCTAAAGTGAAATGTTTTGTATCTTTCAGTGTATGTGCAGTGAATGTGCTAAAGCATTAAGGCTTCAGTCAAATAAGTGTCCGATATGCCGTCAATCTATCGAGGAACTTATAGAAATCAAGATAAATAGCAATCATTGAAAGTTTTCTTCTTGTCAAGTTTGATTATACGGTATGACATTCTTTTTGTTTGTAATCTGCTGTCCAATTCATCTGTTTCACATTTGTTTTGTATATTTTGATCCTGATCTTATTCTTTTCTTTCTTTTGGCCCCCAAAAGAAATTCATGTCCACACATCTTGCCAAGGAAGCCATCTGACCATACATGTTTTAAGTATGATGGAAGTGTCTGTGAAAGCATACATAATTATCTAGTTTATGCGAATGGGAATTGTTAGAACAACTTGTGGGCTCTTTCTAAAATACAGTTTCAAGATGTCATTTAGTTAATTATGTAAAAGCTTTCATCTGTTGTAAGTTTACTCTGTTTTCTTTTATTTCTTCCGTTTTCCCCTTTGGGAAGCAATGTATATTGGTGAGGTGAATAATCCTTTTTCCTGTTTGCTGCTTGATGATGATTGAAGTTTCTAGAGAATATATGACAACCACGTAAAGTGTTCAAATTCTTTGCTTTCTTCTTTGTTGTTCTCCTTTTTGAGTATGTTCAAATACTGCAACCCTCCGTGCTTGAAGTTAATCTATTTTCTATTGCCATGTTACTGTTTTTAGAAGGCTAGAAAAGAGATGTAGGGCTACTCTATGGGATGACCATTCTAGGCCAGGTGGGGTTTTGACATTTAAAAACAAAAGTAAATCTGTCATCAAGTCCTTTGGATGGATTGTAAGATTAAAAATAATAGTAAAAATGAGATTAATTATTGTAACAGTAAAATTGACCATTGTAACAGTGAGATTAACACTATGTTTAGATTGAGAGAAGGGGAAGGAAAGGAAAGAAAAATAATGAAAATGGAAAAACTCTCTTTATGTAATAAATTTTTAATTTAAAAGAAATAAAAGAAGTAAAAACTTAATAACCTTTGGTTTTTTTTATAATCTTTATTTTTTTAATATTTCAATTTGGAAGAAAAACTAAGGAAAGAAAATTGAAAAAATTTTATTTTTATAAAAAGATTATTATATCTATATTTTTATTATGACGTTAGATTTGATTATATAACTGATATTTAATAAAAAAAATAATTTTATTTTTTATAAGTTTTTTATATAATATTACAATTTATAAATATTTTATGAATTTTCAAGTCTTAGTAACAAAACAAGCTAAATTATTATTAGAATAAAGTAAAAGGTTGAATTAAATATAAAATTAAGAGTAAATCAATAAGTTGTTAATACATCTTGTCGAATTAAACATGCTTAATTTTGTTTATAAAGATTTGTTTATACAAGTTAGATAATATAAAGTTATATTTGTATATTATATGTTATTTCATAAAAAAAAGGTTATAATTGAAAAAAAAATTATAATGAATTATTTTTTTATTATTTATTTAAACAATGGTTATTAGAATTTTTTTATTTTTTTTTCTTTCCTTTATTAATTTTAAGTATTCAAACAAGTGGCACATGTACCATTTCTTTTTCTTTAAAAAACTTTCCTTTCATTTTTTTTCTTTTATTAATATCTATCCAAACATAACGTAAAATTAATAATAAGATATGTGTTTGATGCAAAAGTAGTTGTATCAATGAAGTAAAATATAACAAAAATAAAAATGATTATTAAAGACATCACGTTAAAATTGGTATATAATAAGTTTTAGATCTAATTATGATAATTGTCTTTATGCTCTTAATGAAATTTAAAATTTAGTCCTTATATTATACTTCATAAAAATGTAGTTTTTATACTATTTTGATTTGTTAATCTTAATCCAATCATTAATTTCATCAAAATTTTATCATTGGAAATACTGATATCACTTTGTTGACACGGTATTGACTTTGTTGATGTGGATACAAGGTTGAATGAAATTAGTTATCAAATTGTATAAATAGTTTCTACACTCACGAAATTTGAAATTAATCCTTTTAATATAATTTCAAAAAATTCTCATTTTAGTACAAATTAAATTTTATAATGTTGATCTAATTACTAATACAACCAATTATTCTCCTTTAATTTTACTGACATAATCATTGTTTTTTTAGAAAAATTTATGAAAATTAAAAGCTTTAAATAATTCAAAATAAAATATCTAAAAAATTAAAAATGATTTAAAAAGTAAAAAAAATTGTTTTAATAGGTTTTTTCGGAGTTTTTTAATAACAATAATTTAAAAAAATTTCTAATATTTTAATTATTTATAAAAATAATATTTCTTAAACTTTTTTTTAAAAAAAGGTTTTAATTTAAAAATTAAAATTTATGAATTATTCAAAATTTTCTTTCTTTTTTAAAATATTAACTTCAATTTTTTTTCAAATATTTTAATTTTTAAAAATAATATTTCTTTTATTTTTTAATTTTTAAAAAATAAATTAAAAACTTTAGAATTTATCAAAACTTTTTAAAATATTAAATTTAATTTTTTCCAATACTTTAATTTTTTTGAATTTTAATAAAATAAAATTTTATTTTTCAACAAAATTTCCATATTTTAAAATTTTTAGATTTTTTAAAAATACTAAATTTAATTTTATTCAATAACTTAATGCTTTTAAAATTTTTGAGAAAAAGTAAAAAATAAAAAAAATTCTTTTTGTTTTGGATTTTTATTTTTTAAAAATATTTTTTAGGATTTTTTTAAGTTGTAGATGTTTTTCCTAAAAAGACAACATCACGTTAGCAAAATTAATAGAGAATAATTGATTGCATTAGTAATTGAATTAACATTATCAAATTCAACTTGTATGAGAACAAGTTTTTATGAATTATATTAAAGTGATTAAAATTCAAAATTCGTGTGGATATGAATATTATTTGTACAATTTGACAATTGATTTCATATATTCATGTTATTACTCAAAAAAATTAATATTATTTTAGCAAAATCAATGCTTACATCATCAAATCAATCATCACCTAGAATTTTAACAATAAAAATTTAACAAGATTAGTGATTAAACTAAGATTATAAAATCAAAATAGTATAAAGACTATATTTTCTACTATATGACTTATACTAGAGAAAGTAAATTCCAAATTTTGTTCGAATACAGAAACTATTATCATAATTTGACCTAAGTTTTATAATATATATGATATTTATAAATTTAACAATAATTGAAATTAATAAAATTATTTTGATGTCAAATCATAATTGTAGACGCCTCATTTTATTTGAAATTTTTTTCGATATTAATGGGTGCGAACTTGCTTTGATATTAAGTTCTAAAATCGATTTTGAATCAATTAGGATTTAATTGTAAATTTGAATTTTAAAGCCCAAACAAAAGGCCCAAAAGTTTTATTTGACTATTTTTTCTTTTTCTTTTTATTTAGTTTTATTCGTTTCTTCAATTTATTTTTACTTTTATTTTAGTTTAATTTAGATGTCAAAGTTAAAAAGTCAAAAGGTAAAAAAAGAAAAATCCTAGATAGAAAATTGCATAAAGGATTTAGGAGTTTGATTTTCTTTATTTTGTTAAGATTTAAAATTTAAAGACTAAATTTGCTTTTCAATTACTTGGACACCAATTCATTGAAAAAGGAAAAAGAGATTGCAAAAGTGTTAAAGATTGAATCTTGTTAGATTTTATCATTCAATTATTTCCAAATTAAAAAGGGATTTCAATTCCTATATAAAGAGTTCAATTCCTAAGAGCAAAGAACATAAAAAACAAAGCAATTACATAACAATTATAACAATAAAAAAGAAAACGTAGCAATCAAAAGCAATTGACAACATATACAGAGAACATATGTTCAAATTCTAAGATTGATTATATGTTTATTTTTTACGTTGAGATATTTAGAGATTTTTTAGGATTTTGAAGGCGTACTTGAATTTTTATTTTTTTTGAAATTTTTTGGTTTTTTTAGTAAGTTTTAAAAATTTTTATTTTTTTTTAGTGAGGGTTGAAGTTTTCAACGAGATTAATGGTGGTTGGAGGAATTTGCGATGATCTATTTTTGGGAAGTTTTTTAGTTTGATTGAATTTTTTGGCATTAGATTTAGAAATTTTGGCAAGGATCTAGAAATTTATGGGTTTTTTCGTTTAACTTTTAGAGAGAGGAGCAAAGGATTTTGGCTAGATAGAGAAGGAATAAAGAAAAATAAAAAAAAACCATTTTTTTTTGCTTTTATAAGGCTAATGGAACGGCATTGTTTTGGAAAGCTCTGACATGCATTCAGACCTACTGACCCGTGCGTCGACTCGCTACTTAACTCGACTTGGATCGTAGGTTTTTTTTTAAATTTATTTTCCTTTTTTTAATTTATTTTCTTTTTTTTTTTTTTTTTGCTTTAACTAATTTTTATTCTTTTTATTAATTTGAATTTTGATTTAGTTAAAAATAATAAGGACAAAGAAAGAGAAAATTTTTTTATAGTTTGAATTTTAAAATTGAAAATTTTTTTTGTATAATATTTTTGTATGATTATTTTGTACTATTTTGTGAATACATAATTATAAAAAAGATGTAAATAATTCTCTTTTATAAATATTTAATGAATCTAACGACAGAGTCTCTTTAAGAAAATGACATATTTTTCTTGAATACACTTGAAAGGAGAAAATTCTCTTTTTAGTGAAAGTCTCAATATTTATTTTCTAATATTTTAATATTGAAATTAAAATAAATTAGAAAAGAAAACCATTTTGATTAAGACTTGGATAAGATAACATAAGACTAATTTGGTACCAATTTTTGAGCATTGTGCATCTATGAAGACTTTCTCTACATGTAACTGACTTTCGAACATAGTTCTGAAGATATAGACTAGAATATATTTTTGTAGGGACCTTAGTCAAACTTAGGATAACTTTAAAAATGATAAATTTATTTAGATGTCCAATCACACCAAATTAAAAAAATATATATTAGAGACCATTCCATATTTTTTTGTCTAACACTCAAGTTCTCAAATTTGAACATTATGATAATTTGATGACTCCACTAAAGGCATTAGAGAGTCAAACCAGTTGTTAGTTATATGTTATCTTAAACCTTATTTTGATGTTTTTTATGTTTATTTATGTATTTTTTTCATTTGTATTAATCCATTTGTTTTTTTTTTTTGTATCTTTTGTATAACACTTAATTTGAGGCATTGGGATTTGTGAATAAAATGTCAAAAAGTATGTTTATTCCATCGCACAAACTACATATGCACATTCATGCAAAAGCTCTACATCCGAGATTTGTTCTTTTTAAGAGAAAGTAAGTATCTACACTCTTATAAAATGATAACGTCCGTGTGAGCTAGCGAAAGACTCCCACCTAAAATGAATCTTTTTAGTTTTAGCCTATAATGGATGAAAATTGGGGTGGCTTGTTAGTCTATAATTGATAATGATGTAAGGAACAATTTGGGAACTATTAGCTTATCAAAACCTTCAAACCCAGCATATATAAAAACCCTAAGAATCCAACCTTAAGTTAGAACCATGCCATTCCCTTTGCATAGAAAACACTAAAATAGGACACACGAATGGACATCCATTACCTTTTACCTTTAAAATTGCATTTTTTCTTTATTTATTGTGTACTTTATCTATGCTAACACATTTTTTTTCAATTGTATATTTATGCATTT